ATAACAATTATGATTAGAAATTGGCTTTTTAGGTCTTTCAAATTTACATGAATGTAAATCATAATGATGATAAAGCCATTATAGATACAGATTAGAACTTCTAATTGATTACTCATTTTAACTAATAATACAGAAATTTTAACACTTAATAAATGAGAAATTATTCGGATATAAAATAATACATAAATTTAGGCTTTCTTTTAATAAAAGATTTCTGTAACATTTATCTGAAATGTATTCTATTTTGAATTAATTAGGATGTAATTAAAATAGAAATTATTCTGCTTGCTAAATGTTAAATGAAATCAATAATTAACTATAAATCTTTACTTTATTTTTTGAAAATTCATAAACTTTATTTTAGTATTTCGGTTTGGCACAACATTATTGAAAATAAATAATTTTAAAATTGTATAATATTGAATTTAAGGAAAAGTTAAATGAAATATTATGGAAAAATCTTTCACACACTTCTATCGCTCTACTAATTTAGAGAGAGAGGAAAATAGTTTTAAAACTATTATGCATCAAATAAGTTTTTAGTGAAATAATCTACCAATAAATTAATGTTTGCTCTTTATAATTGAGCAGTTGCTTTAGATAATAATACAAACACAATGCTATTTTTTTGAGTGTCGGATGGCTAGTATTAGGAATGGTATTAATTAAATATTTATAAAATTATCAAGCCTTAAACAGGTAAATTAGTGGATGAATGAAATTTTCTTCAGCTAAAGTTTAATTTGATCACAAGAAACATTTGTTACTAGCATGGCATAGCAAATTTATTGTCCTAATAATTTAAAAAAGCTTTTAATTTTGTTAAGAAGATGGTACAATAGATAACTTTTCGTATATCTTCCATTTACTTAGAATATTTGTATATTAAAGATAAATATAAATAAATTAACCCCATTATCTAATTTAACTAAGGCCTTCATAAACGTAATAAGTTTATAATTAGTTCTAAACTATCTGAAATAATATTAAATTAAATAAATTTTATCAAGCTCATAATAATTTCTTTCAATTTCTTGAACAGATTCCTTTAAAATAATAGTAACTCCAGCATAAAGAAATGCAGCCATTGTTCCTACCTTTAAATATAAATATTCAAAAATTACTTTTCAATCAAGTAGTAGTACATGGCAGTACAAATTTCATAAAGGAAACCTTCGGACTCAATTAAAAAAAAATATAAAATTTGAATAAAAATTACATCAAGTAGTAATTTAATCCTAATTTCTCTAATCTTGACTCAAAATTCTTAATTAATATTTCTTTAGCATCTATCAAGTTTTTTAATTAATTCTCTTATTTGTCCATTTTGAAATATTTCTTCATATTTTGAACATCATTTTAGAAATTTTATCAACGTATTTCTCAAGTTCGTAATTAATGTTGGTAAAATTCTAATGATTTGAAAATGATGCTATTTATTTTTGATAGAGTTAAGTCTTTTCACATGTTGTTAAAATTAATTTTTAGTCTAATTTAACAATTCCGTCTAACAATATAATTATTTTGAAGAAATTATAAATTCATCTAACTCCTATATTCTTATTTATTGTTTTAATTGTACATTTGAAATCGTTTAAATTTTTTGTAAATTTCTAAGATTTGTCTATCACCTAATAATTAAAAATCTTAATTTGATTAATCATTTAAATAATTAATTGACTTTTAAATGTCTACTTAGAAATCATATTTTAATTTTTCTAATTTGCTTTCTACATCCTTCGTTATCTTATAGTCATCTAAAGTAACCATTTCTTTGTCTTATTGAACCAAATCATCAATAACTGAAAGCAATTCTTCATAACTTAATTATTGTATAGTATTTTATTTTATCTTGCTAGTCTTGCAGATTTATATAATTGGTTAGAAAAATTTCCTGAGTAATTAGATTTAACTACTAATAGTAATTCTTACTAATTTAGGAAATTTATTCATTTAACTTCTATAATTTACTTCTTTGACTTTTATTGATTAGCAATTTTATCTTAATATACCTTCTACTTTTTTTAATTCCATAACTCATCTATTTCTTGAACCGTTTTTAATTTTTATGAGCTCCCATTACTTTTGCATCGAACGCAAGCTAATCTTTTTTCTGTTTAAAGATTCTCAGAATCTATGTCAATCAGAACTATTTCCTTGTGATGATCTTTACAAAGTGTACTTAAACTCAATGTTTTCTAATTATATATAAAATATACTATATTATTTTCAAGTTTTGGTGGTTCTAATTGAATTTAATTCTCCACATTGAAGTTAGTTATTATCTTTTTAGCATTTTCAAAAGGTTCAATAGTTTACAGGTAGTCTATATCATCTGAAACTTGTTAAAACTAGCTCTACATCTAATTTATATAATGAAATTCCATTTAATCTTCTGGTTTCGAAATAAATTCTTATAATAATTTAACATCCTCCCAGAAATTTGACTAAGTTAAAAATTTTCAAATAAAAATAATTCTTGTGATTTAAGCATACTTTATTTTTATAATTCATTTGAAATTTTTTTACAAAACACTATTAACCTTAAATTTGAACTACACTATGTTTTTAAACAGGTTTTAAAATTAGGTTAGAGTTATTTCAATTTCATTCTTCCTTCTTTGTTACCATTATTTCTTATATGATTTTGCTTCCATAATTTTTAATATTTTATTATCATTTGTTTTATCAACTAAACAGTTATTACACAAATGTGTAGCATTTCCAGTTATTGATAAGTTAAGGTTTACAGCAGTTATTATTTCGTTGTTATGAAATTGGCAAATCATTGTTTGGCCCTCTAAATTTTAAGTAGTTGATGTATTCATTTAATATGATTTTTTTTAAATCATAATTTCTTTCTTCAGCTTTTAAATATGCTGAATTCTATTAATTTAAAAGTTATTCGCGGTAAAAAATATCAATTAAATAATATTAATGTTCCCATTATATAAAAGAAATAAAGAATTTTTCTTAAATCATGAGCTATGATAATTTATCTAGGATTATTTAAAGGTCAATTTTGAAAATACCAGTTATGCAGTTACACAACATGCAAGGAAATTGAAAACAAATAGATTTAATTTGTTTATTCTCATAAAACATTTGGTTGCTTAAATTATTAGTTCTCACAGTGGACTAAGAATATATAACGAACTTGCATTTAAAATAATCAGAAATATCTTTTCAAATGAATCTTAATTTTTGGTCTATTACAACTAATAAGAGACCAATTCAATAATGTATTTGATATGGTTGACTTTAGGGGAGTTTGGTTGGACGTATTGGAGATAATTCTTAAAATAATTGCCACTTTAAATGGTTTGAAAGTCCTGAAACCTGGTGGGAAGGAATATGCTATATATTCAAACAATATGAAGCCATTTTGGTCTAATTTTTCAATTTTTTTCAAGGTCCACAGACACCTAATTATTTCAAAAAGAGATAATCAGCCTCTTTTAAATTAGCTCATAACTAAATATATCCTATTATAATAGTATCGCAATTTTATGATAATCAAATAAATGATCTAATTAATTCAGGTACCTGATAATTTTTTTCATAATGATTTAAATAGTGGTTGAACAAGCCAAATTGATAACATCAAATCTTCAACCTACGCTGTAGAATTTTGAAATTTGCAACGAGATTCCTTTATAATCCTGTGATTATATTCAACAAAATTAAATGAATAAATAATATAATATAATTATTATTTCTTATTCAGAATGAATGAATTAAACTCTACTAATTTTTATCGCAGATGAAAAAGATACCCTTATGTGCCAAACCTATGTATTAAAAATAAGAAATACTAGGACTTTGCTTCAATAAGAATAGCTATAAACATATTCAGATTATTTAAGTGATTGTATTGAATTTGCCACAATGTAGTCAAATATCAAACAATTCATAGAGTTTGACGAAGAATTAATTAAATAAATCTAAAAAATTTCAATTAAATTAGGAATTTTTGGTAATCAATGCAATTTTAAACAGATCAATATTTAAAAACATTAGAAAGTCTGATTAGTTAAAAATTCCTCTTAATTATCAAATCAATTAATTGACGAACCTTATTTCGACACTTAATTTCTTGCTTTACTATACATGCATTTTCTCATAATATATAGAGTTTACTTGGAGATTATTCTTTCTTCAGACTTATGATAATAATTTGTTATCACATATTTTACATATTTTAAACCACTTTAATTGTCAAATCCTTCTCATGCGGCAGCAAAAAAAAAAGATCCTACAAGTTCTATTCTCATCTACTGTATGTTTGCCTGCAGGATTGCTGAATTAGTTGGCTGTGAGCTATGTAATATCAAGAAAGCTTAAGCAAAATTAGTTTGACTCAAAAATATTCAAAGTGAATTGGTTTGGCAATGGCACATCTTCCTAATATTAAACACACAATTCTTAGTTGATGGCATTAGAATTTTTTATCCAAATTATATATAATGGTTACAGTAGTTCATTTATTTTTAGGTAATTAGGATATCACAAGCTGTGATATTGAGAACATATTTGTGGAATACAGTTCCATAAAGAAAGAATTAATTTTATGCTTGACCTAAATGTGAAAATTCTAAAGTTGTTAATTTAGAGCTTAACTAAAACCAGGCCACCAAACATTTTATTAGACATAGTGTTAAGAATTTATCTATTACAAATTCTCACTTGAAGTAATTGGCGAACAAATAGTCGATTTATTTTTGTTTTCTATCGGTAGTAGTTAGAGGACAATTAAAAAGAATTATAAAAAATGATCAAAATGTCGTTGTAATGATGTCAAAATGAACAATCTTTGTTTAACATATTTTTATATGACACATTTAAGAGTAAATTCTTAGAGCGGGCCTCCAAAAGTTTGAAGTGATTCTCTGAAATTTAAATACTTTATTCTGAGATTTTAATAAATTTAAAACTATTTTAATATAAATATGCAACTAAAATTATTATAGTTCCTTCTTAGCCAAAATTTCTACTCTTTTTTCGCTAAAAGACTTTATAAAGATCGGTTTAGAATTGAAATAATATGAAAATGATCAAATCNAAATTGATAACATCAAATCTTCAACCTACGCTGTAGAATTTTGAAATTTGCAACGAGATTCCTTTATAATCCTGTGATTATATTCAACAAAATTAAATGAATAAATAATATAATATAATTATTATTTCTTATTCAGAATGAATGAATTAAACTCTACTAATTTTTATCGCAGATGAAAAAGATACCCTTATGTGCCAAACCTATGTATTAAAAATAAGAAATACTAGGACTTTGCTTCAATAAGAATAGCTATAAACATATTCAGATTATTTAAGTGATTGTATTGAATTTGCCACAATGTAGTCAAATATCAAACAATTCATAGAGTTTGACGAAGAATTAATTAAATAAATCTAAAAAATTTCAATTAAATTAGGAATTTTTGGTAATCAATGCAATTTTAAACAGATCAATATTTAAAAACATTAGAAAGTCTGATTAGTTAAAAATTCCTCTTAATTATCAAATCAATTAATTGACGAACCTTATTTCGACACTTAATTTCTTGCTTTACTATACATGCATTTTCTCATAATATATAGAGTTTACTTGGAGATTATTCTTTCTTCAGACTTATGATAATAATTTGTTATCACATATTTTACATATTTTAAACCACTTTAATTGTCAAATCCTTCTCATGCGGCAGCAAAAAAAAAAGATCCTACAAGTTCTATTCTCATCTACTGTATGTTTGCCTGCAGGATTGCTGAATTAGTTGGCTGTGAGCTATGTAATATCAAGAAAGCTTAAGCAAAATTAGTTTGACTCAAAAATATTCAAAGTGAATTGGTTTGGCAATGGCACATCTTCCTAATATTAAACACACAATTCTTAGTTGATGGCATTAGAATTTTTTATCCAAATTATATATAATGGTTACAGTAGTTCATTTATTTTTAGGTAATTAGGATATTGAGAACATATTTGTGGATTAACTAAAACCAGGCCACCAAACATTTTATTAGACATAGTGTTAAGAATTTATCTATTACAAATTCTCACTTGAAGTAATTGGCGAACAAATAGTCGATTTATTTTTGTTTTCTATCGGTAGTAGTTAGAGGACAATTAAAAAGAATTATAAAAAATGATCAAAATGTCGTTGTAATGATGTCAAAATGAACAATCTTTGTTTAACATATTTTTATATGACACATTTAAGAGTAAATTCTTAGAGCGGGCCTCCAAAAGTTTGAAGTGATTCTCTGAAATTTAAATACTTTATTCTGAGATTTTAATAAATTTAAAACTATTTTAATATAAATATGCAACTAAAATTATTATAGTTCCTTCTTAGCCAAAATTTCTACTCTTTTTTCGCTAAAAGACTTTATAAAGATCGGTTTAGAATTGAAATAATATGAAAATGATCAAATCTAACTATATAAACAAGAATACGACATCTTTATTAAAGCAATTTTATTCACCACTCATCTGTTGATAATCTATTTCATGATTTATTCCAACATCATTAAGTAGTTGATGAGTTTTGATTTCCTGAACAAAAACCTAAAGTTTAATGATTTACATTAAAATGGAATTAGAGAGATAATATTGGAAAACAGTAATTAATTATTCAGATAATTTAGAAATATTTCGAAAAACAAAAATGATATTAACCTAAAATGTATAAATAAAAACTTGAAGTTTAATACTTTTCTAATAATAACACAAGAGTACAAATGTTAATTCTTTCCTTATTTAAAGCACCACATATTATCCTGATTAAATTACATCTTGAAGATATAACTTTATGCACATTTGGAAATTTATACATTTATAAAGCTTGAGTTCGTAACGAAACAATGTGTTACAAGCATAGGAAAGCAATTTTAAATAAAATTCTAAAACAAATATTGTTCCAAAAGAGTGACACCTAAGCATACATTATGATATATCTTGAAAAGAGTTGAGTATGACAAATGCAATAATACTTCAATAATTTGGATATTTTAATGATAAATCTTTAGCTGAAAATTATTACAAACACACTTATCGTTGATAAAAATTCTCCTTGTGATAGAACTCAGCCCACTATTTCTCAGGTTGAAACTTATTTTATAAGATTCAGAACCTAAAATAAAGTAATGACATCGTAATTACTAAATAATTTGTGAGAACCATTGAAATTTGCATCGTTTATCTAGTTACTTATCCTATTACACATCTAAAAAAGTAATTACTAAACCTTTAAATAGAAACAGATTATATTTTCTCAAGATTATTTAAATTTTACAATTTTAAAAGGTATTTATTGCCTTATTTACAATACCGTATCATTTATGTCGTTTTAATAATTATAAACTCTTTATTGGAGAATTTGGCTCGAAGCATCAATAGTAAAGAGACTTTACTTTATCCTAAGAGGATTAGGCTATAATTAAAATAGATAAATCTGAATGTAATTTCTTCAGGAATATTTGTGTCTTTCAAGCAAGGCAGATTCAATAAAAGTATTTGAACCCTTATTTATGACAACATGAGAGAGAGCAGGCCCTTAATTTATTCTTTTAGAATTATATTTTAAGATCCTTGCAGATTTCAGATCTTGTTTTATAAAATGAAAATTTTGAGTATCAGAAAATTAATTCCATTCTCCACTACTTTTCAACCTTAATAGATATATATCAACACTTATTTACTTCGATCCTCAAGTAACTTTGCTCAAAGCTGAAAACTTAACCAAATTTACACATTATCAAAATTTAAGAGTGCTGATATTGAATAAGTAATTGTAAAGCCTAGATTTTACACCAAATGATG